ACCAATACCTCCTAGAAAAGAGAAGGCCTCAGTATGTGTTACCATAACCAAAAGTTTGATCCTTTAGCAATCCAAGCATAATGACATCTCTCATATTTCCACCACTGCGCAGTTTAATAGCGCAAATTCAGTGACATCTTTCTTACTTTCCCCCACAGCGCAGTTTATGTTCGATTCGTGCTGATGAATTCTTTATTCCACGAGGTGTTGGATAAGCCCTATATGTCAGACACTTTTCTACTGCTTTATTAATTTAAGCGAATATGGAGTGGAAAAATAAGTTCACACAAATCAGGAAAACCATTATAATTTTCAAATGCCATTTAAAAAAAAATTGAGAAAAAATATGACAGGATTGATTGGTGTTATGAAAAGGAGAAAATGTAATTGCATAATATTTTGAAGGAAAAATTTTTTTTCTCTGTTTGTAACTTCATAGTCACTTTATCTGAACTCTTTTTCTTTTATATAATTTAAATTTTAAATCATGTATTTTAAAATATATATTATATATTGTAATTGAAAGAGAATTGAGTGAATTTGAAAGAACGCGATAATGCATCCTATTAACTTCTCCTACACGGAGAAAAAAAATTCTGTTAAAATTACCATACAAAACATAAAATTATTCGGGTAATAAGATTAAGATATATGGTATTCAGAATATTCATATGGTGACGGTTTCTATTCATATGGTAACGGCTTACCGACAATTCTGGTTTGCAAAATTATAGCTCGTATTTACCACGCATTTAGTAGAAATACAAAAATGGAAAGTAAATTTTAACCGAATTAGTGGCTTTTATGCTATGCTCTAAATCAGGGGTTTCCAACTTGCATGAGGCCGGGGGCCGCAATTAAAAACAAAAATCAAATGGCAGGCCGCAACTTTATCAAAATTTAATGTAGGACGCTTTTATGTTTGAAGGAACATTAAATATTACTGCCAGATTTTTACCAAGTTGTACAAAGCAAAAGTATTGAATTACAAATTAAAATAAGAAGTAGATTTTTAAAAATACTTAATTGTTACTAATAATATTTTTGAAAATATTAAATAAATAATAAGAATTCGGGCTATAATAATTTTAATGTGCACCTATGCATTAAACAAATAATGTGCAACAGATATCTAATTGTTAAGATATAAAACTTTAAAAAGGTTGGTATTAAAATTTACATAGTACCACACAAAATGTTTAATGACAAAATGGAGGTTTGTCTGCTGAAAACCCCAGAGAATAGATATTTACATTTAAAATTTACAAATGTGAGTGTGAATATTTTCGTCAAAAATGAGTGGTTTCAAAAAGTTAAATCGGAGCATTCGGGAAAATTTCTGATACACACATGCTGAATTATATTCACAACATACCAAAAAAAAATGAAATAAAAAAGAGCAACATACACGATTATTTTTGTATTTGAATAAATATTTTCTTGGATGCAAAACCCGGGAAATAAATTTTTTTTGCACCGTTGGTATGTTAAATTTCACAGAAACGAAGAAATTAGGTTTCTATTAACGAGAAAAGTAGTTTAATCCCATATAGATTTTTTACGAAAATTGTCCGCAAAAAAATTACAACTAATATATTTTAGTTTGCGGGCCGGATGCGGCCCCCGGGCCGCCAGTTGGAAACCCCAGCTCTAAATGATAAAATTTACCAAATTTTATTATATTGACTAAGTCTCAAAGGACATTATAAAACAATATTTTGCTCTTAATTTTATCAAAGTGCTTCGATGAAAATTACCGAGCTTTTTAATGCTCTCATAGAACCAGAAACACGGTAAATTTTACCATATTGCGGTAGTATTGACCATTATTTTTTTTCTCAGTGTACGATGCCATTTAAAGTATCTAGGATCACAGATTATTACTTGCTCTATTTAAATAACAATGATCTTTTTTTCATTAAAGTTCAATTATTCATTCAAAATTCATTATTCAATTCAAATTCAATTATTCATTCAAAATTCATTATTCAATTCAAATTCAATTATTCAAAATTCATTATTAAATAATCATCAACTTCTGTTGATTATTTATTCAAATTTCACACTATATTCAATAATAATGCACACTATCATAATGGTGCACAAATCATTAGTAGTCCTTAAAAGTGTGGAGGAATTTAGATTTAATCCGCCCAGTTTAAATGATTTTCTAAAATTGTTTAAAGAAATCATACCAATCTTCAATTTTTATTTAAAGAAAATTAATTATTTACTTTTTAATTTAACTAATAATAATTAATTTAATTAATAATTAATTCAATTAACAATTAATTTAATTAATAATAAATTTAATTTCAAAATCGAATAATTACCGACTTGAGACTTTTCGGAATATCGGCCTTAAAAAATTCTCACTTGCCTCACCTTTACAATGGCACTATTAGTAGTTCAGGTTTCATAGTTTATATTACAATATAATTATGAATATAGAGGTGCTTATATCCTGCTCAATGCAGTCGCGAAAGAACAAGAAAAAAGAATTAAGAAAACTTTTCTGCTTTCTTTAAGTTCAAGCGTTGGACGCACACTGTAAATTTATTTTTTAATATTATTATTATTTCGACTTTTAAGTTTAACTTATCCAATTGTAATGTTTACGTGTTTTCAAACCTTCTGATTAATTTCATATTTCATATTTTTTAAGTGATGAAGGATTTCTTACGAGATGGCAGCACCATAAGTCTCAACTTATGGTGCTGCCATCTCATAGGATAAAAAAGAAATGATTTCGTATTCTAAAAATCCGCTTAGCAATTTTGAAATATTTTAAATCCATACAGTACATTTTTTATCTGCAATGTATTACCAATATAAAATTAATTATACTTTAGGCATTTTTTTTAACCAAATGGTTTTCTTTAATCGAAATTTTATAATTTTTAGCACAATAATAAAATAAAGCGTTAATTAAAAAAATATAAAGTTTCCATCATTATAAGTTCCAAACCAAAGCGTAAGGATATCCNTAATTATGAATATAGAGGTGCTTATATCCTGCTCAATGCAGTCGCGAAAGAACAAGAAAAAAGAATTAAGAAAACTTTTCTGCTTTCTTTAAGTTCAAGCGTTGGACGCACACTGTAAATTTATTTTTTAATATTATTATTATTTCGACTTTTAAGTTTAACTTATCCAATTGTAATGTTTACGTGTTTTTAAACCTTCTGATTAATTTTATATTTCATATCTTTAAATTTTTCTAAGTGATGGCAGTAAATTTTTTTAAGTGATGATGAATTTTTTACGAGATGGCAGCACCATAAGTCTCAACTCATGGTGCTGCCATCTCGCAGGATAAAAAAGAAATGATTTCATATTCTAAAAATCTGCTTAGCAATTTTGAAATATTTTAAATCAATACAGTACATTTTTTATCTGCAATGTATTACCAATATAAAATTAATTATACTTTCGGCATTTTTTTTTACCAGATCATTTCCTTTAAACAAAATTTTATAATTTATTGTACAATAATAAAATGAAGCGTTATTTAAAAAAATATAAAGTTTCCATCATTATAAGTTCCAAACCAAGGCATAAGGATATCCACGTATTTTTTAATCACGTAATCATATTCACGCATATTTTTATAAGAAAATCAGATCAGCTTTATTATTTTTTAATTTCATTGAATTTAAAATAATGCACTGACAGTGATTATTACTAATAGCTAATTTGATCTTTTTACGGGATACATCACATCTCCGTATTTTTNTTTTTTTTTTTTTTTTTTGGATTGCCATCAGCTTCATGCTGATAATTTACATGAAAATAATACCTTTATGATTTTTATTAATTTCATATTAATAAAAATCATAAAGGTATTATTTTCATGTAAATTATTTTTCAGTCCCGAATTTAAAGATATTTATCAGTAAAAAAAAATTTTATTTTACTCTGCCGTTATTACATTGTGGATTTTGATTGGTTCCTAAGTTAAGAGTTTAAAGCTATAAGCGTTGTTTTAATTAAAATTCGTGTCGATGTTACATTATTACGCTACATTTTAAGATTAACTTATTTCAATCGGTGTCAAAACTTATTAACAATTTTACAATGACTTTTCTTTTTTTTTGGGGGGGGGGTGTAAATTACATAAATATATGAATCATCAATAGATACATCACAAGCAATAAACAAATTGGTCTGTCTAGCTCAGTAGTTACCAACTGGCGGTCCGTGAAGCCTTTTTTTGTGGCCCGTGAGCTAAAATATATTAGTTGTCATTCTTTTGCGGACAATTTTCGTAGAAAATCTATATGGGTTTAAAATACTTTTCTTTCGCTAGAAAAAAAAGAGAGAGAAAAGAAAAAAAACTAATTTCTTCGTTTTTGTGAAATTTATTATACCAACAGAGCAAAAAATTTATTTCTCAGGTTTTGCATCCAAGGAAATATTTATTTTACTACAAAAATAATCGTGTATGTTGCTCTTTTTCCTTCTTTTTTTTTAAAAATATAATATAGCATGTGCTTATTATAAATTTTCTCGAAAAATTCTACGATTAAACTATTTGAAACCACTCAGTTTGAACGAAATTATTTACATTTGTTAGTTTTAAAACGCATAAAGGAGGTAATGAATATCATGTTTGATTGGTGTTCTTAATTGCAGCGCCCGGCCTCATGTATGTTGCAAAACCCTGGTCTAGCCGGAGCAGAAGCAGCGACATATGGATCGACAGCGCACCACTCTGCCAAATGAGTAATCAATGGAAAACAATTTGTTTATTGCTTGTGATTTATCTATAGATGAATCAGTGAACTGCAACACACATAATAATTTATTTACAAATTTAAAGATATAAAATTGACGTGATCATTGTCAAGCTGCAGAAAGATGCGCCCTGTTCCGGAGTTGAATGGCAACTCATTGACATGAGTGCCCCACCCGACATAATTTGACAATTCTTAACAATATGCTATAATAACTTGCTATTAAAGATATTCATAAAATAATGTACAGCTTAACAATCAGCTTTATGCACAATATGATGCATGCANGCTAGCCCAGGATTTTCCATCAGCTAAGTCCCTAAGAGCAGATATTGTTCTGTGCCTGCATTTACTCTTAAGAAGCCGCCTTGCATTTCTAAAGGGAACTGGATGAGAAGATGGATGCAGTGCTGAAGCCTCTCTAGCCAACATGTCAGCCCGTTCATTTCCGTAAATGCCACAGTGGCCAGGGACCCACTGGAGGACTACCTCTCTTCCAGAACAAAGAAGAGAGTCAATGCGTTGTTTACACTTAAATTCGAGTTCAGAGGGATATAAATTATATTCAGAAGTGGTCTGAATAGCAGTCTGAGAATCGACAAAGATGACAATGTTTTGTTCAGATGGTTCACCAATAGCTGTAATAGCCATAAGGATTGCAAACATTTCTCCATCAAAATTATCTGCCCAAGTGTCAAGAGGTTCTCTAAGGCTGAAATATTTAGAGTAAGCACCGGCTCCAGCTCTACCAGTTGAAAAAGTGGCGGATCCATCAGTAAAAACCTGCAGCCATTGCTCGCAAGGGTATCTCTCGTGTATAGTGGCCAGAGCGATAGGATACAACTCGGTCTGGTGGAAAAGATATAAAATTGGCGTGATCATTGTGAAGCTGCAGAAAGATGCGCCCTGTTCCGGAGTTGAATGGCAACTCATTGATATGGACATGAGTGCCCCACCAGACATAATTTGACAATTCTTAACAATATGCTATTATGCTTTCTATTAAAGATATTCATAAAATAATTTACAGCTTAACAATCAGCTTTATGCCCAATGTGACGCATGCACAAATTGTATTTATTATACCAACCTGTTAGGTAGGCTAAAGTATTAAATTTCAATTGTTAACTCACCAAATTGGTTATAACAAATTCTTTTAATTGGATACTTGCACTTCAAGAAAGAAAAATCATGGACACCCGCACGTGTGATCAATGATATCAGCGTAAGTTGATCATTTATAAGCAAAATGGCATGCTAAAGTTGAACTAAGTTTCTCCACATAAGTTAGAATACTAATTAATGTGAAGTTAATTAAATACGCATTGCACATCAAAATTGCTGAAATATAATTATTTCTCATCTACGTCTTTTACTTACCTTAGATTTATTATTTGTTTACATGCTTTATTGTAACCGTGATATATTTTTGTTTTGTGTTCCTGCCAACCTCGATGTTAGTTTGTTTATGTTCTACATGGTTTAGTGCTTGCCTTTGTGTTAAGTATTGAATATAGTGAAAGAATTGAAATATTTGTGAAAGAATATAGAATGTGTCACTTAAGAGAATTGATGCTTGATGGGCTTTGTTTACTGGAAAGGGAAAGACAAGAACAATTGCAAATGTAAACAAATGCCACGTTTCAACAACCAATCAGGATCGAGATACACATTCCACGTCACTTGCAGGTATTCCATTTTAAATGTTATTTATAAGAAAAAAAATTATTACTAAGTAAAATTATTTATGTTCGCTAATAGGTCTAAATAGAATCATGCAGGAAACAGAATCATATGATTTTTTCATACTATTTACCCATTAAATTTGAGTCAAAATAAACATTTAATTTGGAAGAAATGAATGCTGGATGTTGGAAATTGGATGTAAGCAAACCGAATGTAAGCTGGATGTAAGCAAACCGAATTCTTTATAGAACAATAATCATTAAAAAGAAAATAATCATTTAGAAATAATCATTTAGAATAATCTTATAGAAAATTATCATTTCTGATTTATGCTAAACATCAATTATTGTAAATTAATCATCGGGGCTGCTGAGTGGCAGCGAACGGATGGCTTATCTCTCGAGTAAAAGGATATAAACTGAAGTGATTACTTTTTCTTCTAAACAATTTTGATTTCAAATTATATTTTTTTAGCAAGAAAGATTTAATTTCTAGGAAGTACAATAACAGTCCAAATTACAATGCATTAAAAAAAATAATAACTATTTATAATTTATTAACATCGAATATACGCTACATGTAAGTGTTATTGATTATTTTAGTAAGCTCAGTTAGTTAAACATGTTTCAAGATTTTTTATAAAGTGGGTTGTAGGGAAGAGGTCAAACTAGGGGCTGAAGTGTTGTATCTAAGTGAAAGGTAACAAAATGGTTATTTCTCGACAAACATTTTTTTTCGATATTGGTTTTTCTCACTAAACGTTATCAGTTATGAGACATATCTCATAATCTTCATAGTTTAAAATTAACAAAATTTATTAAAAAAACTCAATCGACTGACCAGCACTTCAGTTTTTTGAATTCTCTCACTTCATTTTTTTAAAATTGATTTACGGATTCATTTACCATTGGATTAAAGTCTGATCAAATGGTAAATGATGCAACACGTATTTCGTTTGCGAACATTAATTTTATAATAAAACTTTTTCTCTCATTGCTTTTATAGTTTAAAACTAATAAAATGTATGAAAAAATGCAACAATTGATCTTGATTTTTGTCATTTAAATTCACTCGCTTAGTTTTATTTTTTAAATTTCTTTACTGATTAATTTACCTTTTGATTAAAATTCGCTCAAAAGGTGAAATGCATATTTCATTTTCGAACATTAATTTTGTATCAAAATTTTCATTCTCTATGATTTTATGATTTAGAATTAATAAAAGGCATGAAAAAAAATTAAACGACTGAACTGCACTTCTATCATTTGAAATACCATATTTAATTTTTTTAATTGATTTACTGATTAATTTACCTTTTGATTACAGTTCGCTCAAAAGGTGAAACGCATATTTCATTTGCGAACATCAATTTTGTATCAAAATCTTCATTCTCAATGATTTTATGATTTAAAATTTATAAAACGTATGGAAAAAAATCAAACGACTGAACTGCACTTCTATCATTTGAAATACCATATTTAATTTTTTTAATTAATTTACTGATTAATTTACCTTTTGATTACAGTTCGCTCAAAAGGTGAAATGCATATTTCATTTGCGAACATTAATTTTGTATCAAAATTTTCATTCTCAATGATTTTATGATTTAAAATTAATAAAACGTATGGAAAAAAAATCAAACGACTGAACTGCACTTCTGTCATTTGAAATACCATATTTAATTTTTTTAATTGATTTACTGGTTAATTTACCTTTTGATTACAGTTCGTCAAAAGGTGAAATGCATATTTTATTTGCGAACATTAATTTTGTATCAAAATTTTCTTTCTCAATGATTTTATGATTTAAAATTTATAAAACGTATGGAAAAAAAATCATACGACTGAACTGCACTTCTATCATTTGAAATACCATATTTAATTCTTTTAAATGATTTACTGATTAATTTACCTTTTGATTACAGTTCGCTTAAAAGGGGCAATGCATATTTCATTTGCGAACATTAATTTTGTATCAAAATTTTCATTCTCAATGATTTTAGGATTTAAAATTAAAACGTATGGAAAAAAAATCAAACGACTGAACTGCACTTTTATCATTTGAAGGACCATATTTAATCTTTTTAATTGATTTACTGATTAATTTACCTTTTGGAATCTTTAGATTTAAATTTGCTTACATGATAAACAAAAACGCATGTATTTCATTTGCAATTTCATTGCTAGAAACGGTCTTCTCTAACTTAAAAGATTGTATTCAAACTTCTTCTTCAGAATTTTATTGACTGATTCTCAATCAATTTGATTTGAAATAAGAGTTTAAAAGCAAATCAATTGCTCATTATTTTATCGTACATTAATTTATTCATTTATTAAAGAGAAAATGATAACTTGATTTCAATTTGCCAAGCTAAAACAGTTTAAAGCAATTAAACTCTGAATAATTTATGAATAATTTCGGAGGATAGTCTTAGATCTAGAGTTATAGTCTGGAATATACAAATTTCCAATTCAAAAGTCCAATTTTTAGTAAATATACAATATATGAATTGAACTTAAGGATTTATCCATCCATTTGGAAGAAAATGTTTTTACTTTTCAAACAGAGTTCGGAAACAATTTTATTGAATGCAATTCAAATAAATAAATAAATAAATGCTCAACTAACTATTGAATAAAAATGGCATGGAAAGTTTCAAATCAGTTGATTTACGTATTTTATTGTATGCTTATAAAAACGAACGAAAAAAGCAATTACTCTGTACACTGTACCACTTGGGGACGGGTGATTCAGAAAAACATTCGTACAAAATCAGAATCAGGATGCAATTAAATAAAAAACGGTAACTTAAATGAAGCCGTTTCTGATTTGACAGACTTACTTTGCTTTTACTTTAATTATTGTTGGTGTAATCATATATATAATCAATGTTAATTCAAAGTATAACTAAATAGTTTTATTTTGAACAAAGTAATGGTGAATTAAATATATCAAACAATTATAACTCCGCCCACAAATAAACTGCTAAAGAATTACTTTGATTACCAGTTTTACCTTTTTACCCTGGTTGATACGATTTTATGCTGGCACGCATTTGTGACAGTCGGCGCGAAAGGATAAAACTCAGAAGCGAACACTCTAATGATAATTCTGCTAAAGAATATTTAAACTAGCATTAATATTTTTTCAAGACATCACTGCTATTAATTTTTTTCTCAAATTAATAAGATGATTTTTGTGTAATAAAACTGCTTCTGTAACAACGTACCTTTAAAAATAAAAAAAGCATTATTATAGTATTACATGCAAAACATTTAACAAAGGAATGCATTGCACTTTACCTTGTAAACACTTTAGAAAAAGATTCAATGTAAAAAAAATAATAATAATAATAAAAAAAAACAGAATATTAATTAGTATGGTCATAAATAATTTGTATATTAAGGACAAAATACATTAAGGAAACTATAGTCAATAACAACTGAGTGACCATAACGATTTATAATTTTTTTCTACAGCTAGTATACAATAAAAAAGCAGTTTTACTGTACTTGAGGTAAAAATTATAATTTCTATTTTTCTCCTCATTATTTTTAATTTTTGAAGGAAAAAAAAGAAAAAAAGAAATATTTTTATAAAAATTTACAGATTCTTCAAGAGAGATATAATTTTGATTATCATACTTCAAAATTTTCATAATTATTTTTAAAAAAACAGAAAAGTATGCCATTAAAAAATATTACTCTACTCTGAGAAAAAAAATTTATGATTAAGACTACCAGACTGTGATAAAATTTGCCTTCTTTCTGCCTCTATGAGAACACCAAAAAGCTCGTTAAGTTTTATTGAAGCGCTTTGGTAATGATTTTAGTAAAATTAACTGTAAAATATGTTTTAAAATTCGGTAAATATGGCAAAATTTGGCAATTTTATCATGACGCCCTATAGAATATCACAAAAACCATTAAGTAGGCAAAATTTACTTTTCAGTTTTGTATCTTTTACTATGTGTGGCAATAAGAATTTTAAAAACCAAAATTTCTGGCTAACCGTTACCATACGAACGAAAAAGTTACCAAATGAATGATTTAAATATTGTATATTTTGGTATTTTTAACCAAAATTATGATTGATTTCTTTACCAGAAATGTCATCATCATACGGTATGGTAGTTTTACCAATTTTTTTCTCAGTAAAGGATATAAGAAAAATCAACAAATTATCGAGAGAAAATCTTTTTCTTTACAATATGAAAGCGAAAATCTTTTTCTTTACAATATGAAAGAGAAAATCCTTTTCTTTACAATATGAAAGAGAAAATCTTTTTCTTCACAATATGAAAGAGAAAATCTTTTTCTTTACAATATGAAAGCGAAAATCTTTTTCTTTACAAAATGAAAGAGAAAATCTTTTTCTTTACAATATGAAAGGGAAAATCTTTTTCTTTACAATATGAAAGCGAAAATCTTTTTCTTTACAATATGAAAGAGAAAATCTTTTTCTTTACAATATGAAAGGGAAAATCTCTTTCTTTACAATATGAAAGCGAAAATCTTTTTCTTTACAATATGAAAGAGAAAATTTTACGGCCTAACAGAAATACTACATATAGGCACTTGATTTACATTAA